GTGGAGCCTCCACACCACGCAGGAGAGGCGGCCCCCGCAGCTCACGCTCCAGCTCTGGGATAACGACCTGATCCTCAGGGATGACTATCTGAGTAAGCAGTCATTTTATGGAAAAGATAATAGTGGAATGATAGTAAATATGATAATATGTGATTGTAAATGTCATTCTTATTTCTGCTCCTATTACTGATTATATTAATATTGCCATTAACAGTGATGGCAGTAGTAACGATGATAACATTGTTGTTAAAATAGTAACGATAACAATAATAGTAGTAATAGTGATGGTAGCGATAACGATGATGATAATACTGATCAAAGTCAGCAGTAGCAATGATCCGCATGACCTAAAGCCTAAGCCCCGCCCCTCTGCCCGGCCCCGCAGGCGAGATGACCCTCGACCTGTGCCGCATGCCCAAGCCCGCCAAGCGCGTGGGTGCCGTCGGGCCCGAGCAGGTGCCGCAGATGCAGGGCGACGGCGACGCCAACAGCGTGGCCATCACGCTGCTCGACGACCACTCGACCGCCGTCAACCTGTTCGAGGCCAAGCGCCTCTACGGCTTCTTCCCCTTCGTCAGGGTCAGCGAGGGCATCACCGAGATCGCGGTGAGGAGGCGCTCACTCGTTGAACCACACGCGCACACGCATACGCACACGCTCACGACACTTACACACACACGCACAAGCACACAGCCACACACATATGTATGTATACATACATACATTTTTTACCGGGTGAAACACTATATATATAGCTTTTTTTTCAACATATAAACAGGAAACAGCGGCCACTGGGGAGCAGCTAATTTCACTCAGGTGCAGGACAAGGCCCTTGTAGGGGGAGGGACCCATGATGGAGCCCTTTTCCCACTGCCAGGATGTTGACCCCTTGGGCTGGTAGCAACGCTGTTCATATGTTCACTTAAAACAGAACGCAACGATGTAGTTCAAGTAAAAATAAGGAAAGAAAGAAATTTATGTATATTGCTTAGCTTAAATATCGGCCAGTTTATTTCTTTTATTTTGTCTTATTTTAGACGCCATTTCTGTTTTCACGCCCGTCAGTTTCATCTTACTTATTCAGATTCATTTATCCATGATAACTTGGTATTTTCCTGAGTGATGCGACAGATCTTTCTAACTTCCTCTTGCAGGGTAAGATTGAGATGGAGTTGGAGGTGCTGACGGAGGAGGAGTCGAAGACGAGGCCAGCGGGCATGGGTCGAGACGAACCCAACATGAACCCCAAGTTGCCAGAACCCAAGTGAGTTTTGTTCTCTCTCTCTCTCTCTCTGTCCTCCCTCCCCCTCTCTCTCTTTTCTCTCTCTCTCTCTCTCTCTCTCCTCTCTCTCTCTCTCTCTCTCTCTCTTTCTCTCTCTCTCTCTCTCTCTCTCTCTCTCTCTCTCTCTCTCTCTCTCTCTCTCTCTCTTCTCTCTCTCTCTCTCTCTCTCTCCTCTCTCTTTCTTCTCTCTATCCTTTCTTTCTTATACTTGGATTGCATAATATTCGAATAATGATTTTAAGTGAAATACTGTAGTGAAATGCAACAACGAGTTCATCATATGACTACTTCTTGGGAGCAGCGTAATGATCCGTTAAATTTTGAATCCTAAAAAAGACTATCGGTATTTGGTACACCATTAACTGAAAAAAACATCTTTGTAGCAAGCAAGTAACCATTTACTGACGCCATGAAACGCAGAATGAATAATCTCATCTGAATTTCCCTTGCCCAGCCGCCCCGCCACCTCCTTCCTGTGGATCACCTCGCCTTGGAAGTCGTTCAGACACGTCGTCTGGAAGAACTACAAGTGGTACTGCATCACGCTGGTCGTCCTCGCGCTCATGTTCCTGTTCCTGTTCCTCCTGCTCTATTCGCTGCCGGTAAGGATGGTCGTGCACGCAATATACGTCTGTCGGCCAGTTTGTTAAGCTTATGCGAGGCCCGACCCAATGACTGTTCATATATAAGGACATGCATTTGCACATAAATAAATAAACATCTGTCAATCTAGACATGTATATGTATCGTACAGACAGAAAGATAAATGTATATCTATCAGATAGACAGATACGCATTTATTTCTGTGAATATGCATATCCATATATATATGAATGTTTACTGGGTCGGGCCTCCTACAATTTTAACAAACTGGCCGTATAACTGTAACCGAACGTCTGAATTATATATGTATACACATACACACGCATACAATGTGTCTTATTGTATTCTTGAAACTTCACCACCTGACTGCTTTCCCATTTGGGTTCTAAAGCCGTTTTCGCTCCCTCCTTCCCCAGGGCGCCACCATCGACTACCTCATCGGCGTGGACTAACGAGGTCGACGGCGTGGGTGTCACTGCCTGTGCGCGTGTGATTGTTTGTGTAGCTGACGAGTGGCTGTGTTCAGTATCTGTCACGTGTGGGCGGAGTAGCGTAGGGTGTCAAGATTTCACTGAGGATTCATCTTGATATCTGCGCAAGGTGGAAAGACATTGATCATATTATCAGAGAAATGCATATAAAGTATGGAAATGAATATAAAATATTTAAACAGCTGGGGTTTTATCATAATAATCTAGTAATACAGTAGCTTAGCATTTATCAAACACAAATCTTTATTAACATTACACTTCTTTTATAATTACTAGACACTAGTTGAAACTGCAAACGGTGAATTTTATATTTCAGAAAAAATGTTAAAATTTTCTACATATACAAAATATATGGCATAGTACATACAAGATATACTATGTATTTAAGCATGCACACATGTATACATATATACATACATATATATATATATAATATATATATATATATATATATATATATATATAATATATATATATATATACATACATACATACATACATATATATATATATATATATATATATATATATATATATATATATATATATATATAATATATATATATATATATATATATATATATATATATATATATATATATATATATATATATATATATATATATGCATGCATGTTTGAATGTATGTCTGCATGTGTATCAATGTATGTAGAAAGATAAACCACTCTGACCGGGGAGCTGCAGGTGGTTCAGAATGAAATAGTCCTCTCCAATTATGCTTCTTATATGTATTTTATATTAACATCCACTGTTAAACTGATAAGGTTAAACTATCTTCTGGTGATTTTCACTTCCCAAGTTACGACATTCTGAAAGCAGTTCTATGTAATGCAGATCATTCATTAATTTTCATTTTCTGAATTGCAATATATTGCAATGGTATTTCTTTCCTGTTAAGGTCTTCAAGTTTATTACACTCCAGCCCTGTGCATTTTTGTGTCTAACTTATTCTAAAGAAAATATACTTATCAGGATGAAATTACAATGTCTGTATTTGCCAAATGTACAGTAGAATAACGATTATTCATCTATCGTTTCTTCAAAGGAATTATAGTGAACACTGGTTCAGCCTCACTGCTTTCGGGAGCGTCGGCCACGCTAGATTTTTCTAATGCCATACAATGTGGACATACTTATACATACATACATACATACATACATACACACACACACACACACACACACACACACACACACACACATATATATATATATATATATATATATATATATATATATTATATATATATATATATATATATATATATTACTTTGTGTCAAACGACTTCTTGATGGTGCTGATCACCAGGTGTGTGTATCCGTCCTGTGTCTGGAATATAGCTGTGATAAGTCACTCAGTTCCTCTGAACACACATCTGTCAGGTTGCTCCTCCTCAGCACTTCATTTGTTGGGGGTAATTATAGTTTCTTAATGATCCTGAAATGTGTATTCTATCCTAATGACTTCACAAGTTTTTTATTATTTTTTTCTGAAAGTCTAATCTGGGCTTCGTTATCATTACGACAAGTCCTTGTGGTGCTAAATAGCAAATTGTTGCATTGAAAGATTCTTATCATATATTAAATCCTGATTGCAATCCTAATGGTTTAATTGACCTCCCTTTTCTTCAAATATTAAGTAAACTGCCTACAGTAGATAGATACAAGAAAACCGTAACGAGGCTGAAGATAAACAGTTGGAAGAATGGATGTCACACTAACGGGGGTGACGAGTGAAATTAAGGGCATATCCACAGCTGCGAAGATGTATATACGTAAATACATTTGAAGATGGATATCCTTTAAATTCATTTGAAGATGTAAATACTTTAAAAACATTTGAAAATGATATCCTTTAAATACATTTGAAGATGTAAATACTTTAAATACATTTGAAATATATACTTTCGATACATTGGAAGATTTGTATCCTTAAATACATTTGGAGATGTATATACCTTAAATACATTTGAAAGGTAAATCCTTTACATAAATTGGAAGATGTACATACTGTAATGCATTTGAAAATGTATTTATTTTAAATACATTTGAAGATGTATTTACTTTTGATAATGAAAATGTATATCCTTTAAATAAATTGTAAGATGTATATATAAATACATTTGAAGATGTATATAATTCGATACATCGGAGGATCTTTATCCTTTAAATACATTTGAAGGTGTATACATTTAGATGCATTTGAAAATGTATATACTTTCGACACATTTGAAGCTGCATATGTTCTAAATGCATTGGAAGATGTATCTTTACATACATCTTCCAATACTTTTGATACATTGGGGGATGGATATACTTTAAATACATTTACATTTATCTATGTATCTAATTTTATACTGATGTACATCAGTATAAAATTCTTAATTGGGGTAGCTTAATTTTCATAGAACGCATTTTTAAAGCGCTCAGGAAAATAAAAGTCAAATTATCATAAGAATGTTTAATATGCTATTACTTCAAGCAACCATACCTCTATGGCGTTGATTAGTAATAAAGGACACTGCTATCAATTCCATTTCCCGTAATTTTAACATTAATCTATTTCTATACTTTATCCAAAAAGAAACAGAGGCTGAGGACCTCGCCTTTATCTATTAGGAAATGTGAAAGGGACATTCAGTCAACCAGGCAGTCCGAAGGCTATGAATGACAACTGACAGATTTTATACATGTAGAAGGAAAGCATTCAACGGTCGCTTCCACATTCACAAAACCTGTCATCTATTAGTTTCTCTTGATATATATACACTCACAGCTTAACATGTGATATGAAAATAGGCTATTATGAAACTTTTATGTACTTTGCAGCTGATGATACACACACAACATCCATAACTGAGGGAAAGGGCATCTACATTATTAATCACATATGTATTACTATCACATGATAATAAAATCTAGATCTAGATTTGATAATCATAAAGTCTAGCTTGGCAGGATTATGAGGCAATAAACTAATTCGAAGAAATGTAGACTTGTTATCCCATCAATCGAAGGCTATGAAATTGATCTTTTTTTTTGTAATACAATCCCCCCCCCCCCCTTTTCGATGTCTACATGGATTGGAGAGGGGGGGGTCGTAAAAATATTCTTATTAAGATTTCATTCCTTACCTTTTGATATAATTTTAAGAACTATCACGTGCTTGATGGATTTCCGTTTCCTTTGCTGCCTTGCTACTACTCACGACCTCTGAAGGGAAGGTCGACGTCACAACGCTGCGGGCGAGGATGGGGCGAGAGGAGCCTTGTTTGAGCCGGTCGCCCTGTCAGATATCTCGACCTCAGGCTCTTTTCCTGATCTCTTCGACCTTTTCTTTCGGCAACGGGACATCGCCCTAATCATTCTACAACTCCCCATGTTCATTCTCCTTCCTTACATGCTGGTTTTCCTTTGTTCAATTTTCCATGACGGCTGCTCGAGCTGCCCTCCAACGCACCACTCTCACCTTACGCAAATAACCTCTCTTTCCACCTTAAATATTTTTGTCTCCTCTCCCTCCTCCTCGCTTTTTATCCTCAATCTCCTCTCCCTCCCTCCCCCCTCGCTTTCTATCCTCAATCTCCTCTCCCTTTCCCCCTTCGCTCTGCATCCCCTTCGTATTCTATCTTGCGAGGTTGGAAAGGAGGAGAAAACACAGGAAGAGGAGGAAGGCGTGCGGCGCGGGGCGGTTGCCAGCCGTGAGCGGGGCCGCCGAGGACCTGGCGGGCGTGAAGGGCTGCTTGCGGGGCCGAGTGGGCGCCGGACTGCTCGCCGAGGACAGCAGCGTCACCTGCGGAGGAACTCGGTCTCAGTAACATGGCATTGGCGGCGCTAAGAAATCGCATCTGCGGCATAGAGCGCTATAGCTCTTGCAGCGGCATTGGAACTGGAGGAATTTCAGTCTTTGCATTGGAAAGTCTTCGGATTTTCGTATTTGCATTTAGTTACTACATTAAGATATGCTAGAATATAATTATACATTTTTTATCTAAATAATCAACATTAATTCTGTAATAATAGTTTCTTGATTTTCGTATTTGCTTTTAGTTACCACATTAAGATGCGCTAAAATATAATTTCGTGCTTTTTATTAGAATTATAAAAATCAATTCAATAACTAAAACATACAGTTTCTGCCCCTAAAAATAAAAATGGAAAGGGTTGATTGAAATACTATTTGTATGAAAGAGACTTAGTATTTGTATATTGTGAAAGTTAATCCACCATGACATGAAAAACAATATGAGAAACTGGAACAGAGTATGGATGCAGGTGTATGAAAAAAATATAAATAAATAAATAAAAAATAAACTGAAATCTCATTCCGGGGACAAGTTTTCTTTAAACTAAAGACACTTGGTCTTTGGCTTCAGATAACTCCATGCTGGCAACAGGTCTGGCGCGCTGGGAATACTGACAAAATGGTTGAATTTCTCATCCAATTCAATTATTATACTGCTTAGAGATGATAGGTCGGATCAGTTATCATTCGCTGGTTGGTTTATATGATTACAATTGTGAAATAACATATTATCATTTACATTTTTAATAATATAAACGCCACGCATACCACGTACAACGGGGCAAAGAGACAGTCCAAAAATTAAGGTAACTATAATCGAGTACGACATGCGCTTTAAAAATACATTAATAGGCCTATCCCTTCCTATACAATAGAAATCCCATGCAATAATTATTTCAGTAGCTATTGTCCCGAAATATTTTTGTGCAAGAATCCGTGAAACGCTCTCCAGTATTTCATTACAATGTACATAATAAGTTGTCACGAAAAGAATCGGCTGCATTTCATCGGCGATGCGTTAAACGGGTACCAACACATCACTGGCACATAAAATGAATAATAAAGACCCCCCTCCAAAAAAAAAAAAAAAAAAAAATGAATAAAAAAAATAAAAGCAAATAAAAAAAATGAATACCAAAGAGTGAATTGAATAAAAAAGTGAATCATATAAACTAAAATGAAAACCAAGAAACAAATATACAAGTGACCCCTTAAAACAGAGTAAGGAATTATAAAATAATAATAATAATGAAATAAAAATAATATAAAAGCCAGGTCAGTGCCGCCGCCTGCCGCCCT